GGGTTACTTTTTTTTTTGGCCTAAATTAGATCATTATCCAATATGTACTCGGTTATATACTTATACGAAACATCAAACTTGGTATGTTGAAGAAATGGAAGTTTCGAAATTTCTTTAAATATGAGTAATTGTGTACCACCTTTGGCAGTGTACTTAAAATAGAGAGATTTTATTCTAGAAAGAAATAGTTCTTTATCTTTATCGTTACATATACATATTGTCAAAAATCGTAATGCCTATGAATAGAAAATACTATATAGCGTGACATAAATTGACAGGTATTTTACCACTTCAAAGCCAAATTTGTCCGTTTTGTCAAAAATACCGACATTAAATTTACTATTAATTATATTAATATCCAGGTCAAGAACAGGCGCATATATAGTACCAAAATTTTCTTTAATATTAGTTCTAGGGTATATATTTCACTTTTATATTTATTGAAAGTTCCATTATCATTGATAGGTGTTATGTCATCAATGTATCGGAAGGTATAGTTTAGACTTATCTACTTTGTAATCAGTTTTTTGGTTATGATGCTGAAAGCAGAATTCATATTTATATATATGTGCATTTGCCATAAATGGGGCGGGGTCAGTTCCCACTGGTAAACCAATGGTTTGGTGTATTATCTGATCTCCAACCTCAAATATGGCATTGCCAATGATTAACTTATTCAATTTAATGTAGACTTAGTATTAGATGAATTTTCATTCATAATTTGATTTTTTGCCATTTTAAATAACATATGCTCATATATATATATCGAGTAGAACAGATGATCTAATTATGTGCCACTGTCATGTCTTTGAGACATGATTTAATTATGTTTGTGGTTGTAATGTCCAAAAGACTTCCTGGTAGTGTAGTTCATTTGTTTTCCTTTCAGCTTTCTTTAAAGTCTATTACAAAAATAAATTCAACATGATGCTGGTGCTTGCAATTACAAATGTAAACTGTCTTTTCATGAAAAACAAACTGAATATCAAATAAACATAGGTTATTTATAATTCGTTTTCTATTAACTATTCTATTATAAGGCATGATATTGTGACTGGTTCTACATGTCTACAGTTTGCATCTGTTGACTACAATTAACAACCAGCCTCTCCAGACAGATTATATGATTATTGGTGTGCCAATAAAAACTAAGTAAATTGAAGGGTGTTTCCACTGAAGTAGGCCACGATACAAACATGTCAGCTGTGGTTTCTGAGTAATCACACAAAATCTTAACAGAAAGATGTAAAAATGGGTTAATTTTTTAATAATAACCATGTGTAAAGGTCAAAATTGCCAGAATATAAATGCTATGAACAAAGATAGGTTGGCAGGCAATGAAAATAGGTCCAACAACAGCCAAGTCATGTCTTTATTCTTTTGCGAGTAATGGGGGTAGGCCTACTTGCAAGACACTAAAAACTCCTGAAGGGCAACAACCCATGAAGTAATTATCAGAAATAATTCCAAACCATGTACTGATAAGCAGATAACTTCAGCTGTTCAAGTTATTTGAATACATACAGTACAGTTTAATTTCAATGACAGTGGGACAAAATCAGAGAAAACCCACGAGACAACCATATTCTTTTTTCACGTACAAGTTTGGGACTGAAACCCCGCACACTCAAGGCATTATAGAAAACATCATAATTAAAAGGAATGTTTTTGTAATTAGGTCATTAGATTAGAGTAGGGGTGAAAAGAATGGTTTTTTCAATCATCCACAATGGAATTAACTAAGGCTTACATGATCAAAAGTTTGTGAATTAGCATGATAATTGTAAAAAATATGCATCATTGGTTAGATGTGGAAAGCACAACTCCAAAAACTTCCCACAGCCGACGTGTGATGTATACTCTCTTCTGCTACAGATTTTATTAGCCTTGTAATTCTCCTCTTTTGGCTCACGTGTATTTATTTTTACCTCAACCGCTAAGAAGTTTTTCTACCAGGAACAACAATGCAACAGTGGGTTTTAACATTTTATATAAAGCACTGAATACATAGGTTACAAGCTTAAACAATGGCATACATAAAGTCATTCTCTACATTCTTGTGCAAGTCTAAATGGCGAGGCTAGACTTTTGAAAATCACTACATCTTCAAATGGTCGACTAATGCATCTACCTGAAGTCTGTCTCTATAAGAACCCAATGCGTGTCTAAACTCTATAGGATCTAAATCAGTCTTTTAACAATGACAGTGGCCTTGAGACAGCTCTGTCAATTATTCAATTGGACAAATATTACATAATTAATTATGATAACTGGTTACTAAGCCTAATGACGTCGAGAACCACCCTTATATGGACAGTGGAAACTTTCCACCAGGAGTGTCAGATATTTTGTTTAAGCTGATTTTATGCATCAACTTATCAATCATTTCAGTTTGTCTACGAGAGATATGGCTTGTCTATGAATATGGAACCAATAATTAGTCAAAGGCCATATTAGCCTAACATTATTATTCATGTATAGCACAAATTTCACCATCAATATTACTACATAATTACCATCATGCATCATGTGTCAATAAATATATTGCATAAAATTCTTGGTACAAAACGAATCATATTTCACATGTTCAGACTATTAAACTTTAACATGACTAAATTAGAACAATGGGTAAATAATTCTATAGTCATGATTTTATTGAAAACTTATCACATTTAAGGCACTTAATAAAATTGACAATATTCAATGTTCATGTATCATTATCAGCTAGACGCCTGATCATCGGTTGACCCTCGTCCCTCGACTCTATCAAGAACTATATAAAGCTATAATAGCAGACAGACTTATTGCACGGAAGCCATATACACGTTTCAATATATAATAGGCAATGAAGACATAAAGCTAAGAAGAGAACCAGATATTTTCTACATACCCTTTGGGACACTTTGATTAAACTTATTTCCGTTTGGTAGCAATTTATGGCAATGGCTGACGTTATAAGGAATTGCTTCAGACTAAACAGATTTGTCAAAATCAATACAATTACCCACATACTCAGTAAGAATTTTTCTGCATCCATTTTTCTTCCTATTAACTGTTAAAAATGATAACATTTTTGATCTCTGTCAACATATCACTTTATTAGCTGCCAGCACAGAAGATTTTTCAAAGTAATGACAAGATTACTTTTGTTTAGACACAATTTAACCACAGCAAGAAATCTCACCCAGAAAGTAATTGAATTCCAACTGTCAAGGGTTCTCTTAAGTGCACACCAAGTGTATATGGGACCTCGTTTTTTAGGCCATAACAATTAGATGTTGCTCCTTGCCAGGCAAGTGGAAACCCTGCTAGAAATGCTGGGGAACTTTCTCGGCCAACAGGGGGACCAACATTGTTGACATGACCCTAAGTAAGATATTGTGAAAGCTGAATCTCTAAAAGGTATCAGTCTGCTACAATCAGACTATAAAAATTGGAGAGAGAGATATGGGGTTTAATGTCCACTCGATACAAAGTAGGTCCTTTCGGGACCCAGAGAAAACCCACGAAGTTGCACAGGTGACCCTACTCCTTGTCACGTACAACCAGGGAATCGAAACCACGCCAGTTGTCTCAATGACAGATCTTATGATACAAAGCGCATGCACTAAACATTCGGCCGTTACCCTCCTCCCCACCATAAGAATTGGATATGAACCCTTGCAAAAAATAATGTGAAAGTTGAAAATCAGAATATAAAAACTGGATATGAACCAAAACCGTCAATACAAGGAAAACTTATCTAAATACATGCATATGACTGGATTCTCGTCAATTAACAAATATTTAATTGATCGTTTTAATTTTATTTGTCAAAACGATATTACTTTTAGTCAAAAGACTATCTACATGTACCATCGATATTTTGATTTTTTGATATTTCATGTTTTTATCAATTTTTGTACATTTTATCATGGATTTAGCTGTGGAAGATTTTATATTTTCAAAAAAAAAACCAGAGGCTTTAATTCTTATATAACACCTTTTGATGGTTTCTTTATATTATTATAATCTGATTGAATGCAAGCTTGGAACTTACACACGGCTGATATTTCTTAATCGTTAAATAATCAATTTGAGTACAATTTAGTGTGGATTAAGGCATGAAAAATTAAGATATTGATTGTCCGAAAAATAAAAATAACAATCAGCAACTTTAAATAATACAATTTTAATGCTTTGTAAAAGAACCTATTTTCTCCTACACTGTAAGTTTAACACTTCAGCTTTATTATTATTAAAACCAATAAATCAGGCATGAATACCACAGTTTGTTATTATAAACATGATTTTTTGTGGGTATCAACAGTATAATTTAAGTAACCAATGTTATTGTTGAGGTGCCAAGTAAAGAAGTTGCATATGATAGTATTACTACACACTGCAACTAAATGTTTTTACGATACTGTATGTAATCCATACATTTTATACCTATTCTAGTAACTTAACAGATGTATACAGTACCCCCTATAGTTTCCAGACATACAAATATCTTCATTGTTTTTTCTCTCTTCCAAGCCAAGTACATGCAGTTCATGTACTGTGTTTAGTTTCTTTAAAGGAGATGGTCCATCTGTTATATATATTCTAACAAATGACAGGTACTCAAATAAACTTCTAGATGCCACCACTCAAGCACTATCTTTAATTAAAGAATGCGTTAGTGATATCATCTATACTACCAGTTCTTTCAATATGGCTTAAAAATGTTTAATTTACAAATAAACAACCCTTATCAATATTTAGAATTTCCTACCGTTTACATGTACTTGGACAAAATTTTGAAATATTAGGACCTGGAATTTGAGAATCATATGTACTTGAAGGTTTCAGCATGAGAATATCTTTTTTGCCTCTTATCTTCATGAATACTGAAATCCTTACAAATTTTCTTGCCCTTTGGTATGAGAAATACATCAATTAGAATCAATTACAGAATATCTTTCTTAAAACAAACTGTAGCGCAACATAAAACTATTTCATATTGATTTCATACTTACATAGACGTCCAAAACTTGCTGAAATTCTTCTTTTCAATTTCTTGATGCGACCAACTTTGTCTTTTCCTACAAAAAAAGGAAATATGTAGAAGGAGGGAGTATGTGTTACACAATACTATGACTTGTTTATGGAGTTTCTTTGATAAAGGTGCTAAGCAAGGATATGGTTTTCCATTAATATCAACAGAACAATTACAAATTCTGTGTTGACTCTAAATTTCAAAATTAAAGCTGTACAATCCCAGAAAGTGTCCGTTATCAAATCTATGGTACTATTATAAGGTTGCACCAAACTATACACCAAGTTTCATCACTCTCACTTACATGTAATTAGAACTTAAGTTATCGTGTCCCAAAGCATCAACCAATCAAATTGCTTATCTCTGCTTACCCTAAGCAGAAAATGCTCATCCTCGAACTCCATCAAGGCATTGACCTAGTAAACACCAACACCAAGTTTGAACATTCTAGCTCAATTAAAAGGAGAGTTATTGTGTCCCAAAAAGTGTGACGGACAGACAGACGGGCGCACGAACCCATTTTATAGTCCCGTACTTTCTTCGAAAGGCGGGGACAGCAATATTGGTTCAATCATGCCACAACTGTTATAACCGGTTCCAGATTGTGGCGGAGTGTTGAAACACTTCCACGATATGTAGAGTATTTTAAAGAAATGTCGACGGACTGAAAGACAGGAAAAAAACATTTCCAATAATTAAGTTGCAAATATTCAAAGATCATAGTATATTTACACTAGAATAGCTTGAATACAATATATAACATGAAAAAGAAATGAAATAATGCATTCTAAATTATTCTGTTTTAAGTTGAACATTTTGCAATGATTAGATGAGTCAGAATATAATTATTTTCCCTATGTAACTCAGTTGACCTTTAAAACTGTATTTCAATGTTTTCAAAGATTGCCAACTCAATCAAGATCTGGATTGGTCAATTAAAGTGACACTACATGTATATGATGTTGCAAGGATATTATTGTATTCTTTTGTGTGTTACAAATCTTGTTTGATACATTTTGAAATGTACCTAAAAAGACAGAGAATTAATAGACTTCTAAGAAGTTCTTCAAGACAAACCTTTATCTTTATCATGTTAGAATGTCTCAGGTCCTACCAAAATTTTTAAAAATCAACAAACTATTTCAATCTGTCAAATTTGTTTATTTTCATTTGCAACACTCCTTCAAATCCAAAAGAATCATGATAGAGCATTTTAAAAGGAGAATGACGATCTGTGCTTCTATTTGGAAAAAGATGAGAACATGGGATGAGTAGCATGCTCCAATCCTCCAAGTGTGACCTATATAACCTTATATAGAAAGAGAATCATAGCAGTTAACAAAATCTAGAAAATAACTTTCTACACATAAAACCAAAACTGACATTTTCCTTTAAACAATGAGGAAATAAATGGAAATTGACATTAATTTTAAAGTTTACAATTCTTATCAGAGTAATTAAATGAAGATTGCATTTTAGGACAGACCAGAATACATTCACTTAATCAGTTCTGCAGTAATCACTTACTAATACTATTGTCTGTAATATCTTGTTGTCTCACTGTTTTCATTAGTTGTTTATCAGGTTTTGTATTAGTTCTAGTGAGATCAAGATCCTCCACAGAAGTATTTCATGCTAAATTCTACCACCTTACAAATGATTCATCATGAAGTCCATACTTTCTAAATGTAAATTTACTTTAAATTGCTAAATGCTGCTATACTTGTCTTAAGTCTATCACCTCCAAAATCTGGTTAATCTGAATTTTAATTACAGACACACGAAGATTCAATAAACAGACACACTTAGCAAGATATAAAGTAACGTGATTAGAAGTATATAATTACAGAAACATTACTTTATATGTTAGAAAAGTAATAAATATATATATAATTTTTCAGTTTAGATTCTTGGGTTTAACACTGCATACATGTAGATCTCGTTTAAATGTGTCTATTCTATGCACAGTGTATTAATTACTTTCAAACACCTGAGCACAACAAGGGTTCTATGTTTTGATTTTCATTGCCTAGGGATAAGACTTGGTCTGTGGCAAATTATGCAGCCCAATAGATCGTCCAAATCGTTTGTCCCCTACTGGACAAGAATCCAATATGACTAACCACAAAGATTGTTTATTTAATTTTGATAAAAAAAATCATAGTTTTATACATAAATGCCATTTGCAACCATAAATTTAAGACTATGGGTATTACTCATACAAGATAACTCCACACATAACATCGCCAACGAATCATGGGTGACAAAGAATCTTAAAGTAGACACATGGGTGACCAAGACACTTATAAGTAGATGGTCACTAGCAAGAAACTGTGCTGTCTGTAGCATATTAACATCGGTATAATCAGAACGCTAGATGATATGTATGGCGTAATGAAGACAGGCATACGCCATTCAGTGTACAATGAGGGAAATTTGCCCAGACAGCAGCGCCACAGCCTTTTCTTATATTGAATTCCAACTGTCAAGGGATCTTTCACGTGCACACCAATGTGCACATGGGAACTTGGTTTTTCGTTCCATCCAAACGAATATTCGTTGTCCCTTGCCAGGCATTCTGTCCTGCACCACGGACAAAGGAGAACCACCCCGGAAAATCCTGATGAACTTTCTCATCCAACATCTGAATCAAATACAGGACCTCCAGGATAGCGAGTCAATGTGACTCCCCTGAGACTTGAAATGAAATGAAATGAAATGGGGTTTAACGTCCTACTGTCCCCTGAGACTTAAAAGCTACATTGTATGTGTTATTTTGAAAACATAAATGTAATTAAACCAACAGACAACTGTCTAGAATTTGATATTTTAGTACTACTACAAGTATTTGTTGTCAAAATAGTTTTATACATACATGCCATGTAAACATTGAGTAACTAACAGAAATGTACAATTCATGATAGACCTGTTTTCACTTATCATAAATAATGGCCAACTCCCAATAACAATATTTTATCTAGTGCCAAAATAATGTTCTTACTAACTCTACAAAATTATGTCAACTTTTTTGCTTCAAAAGTTAGTTGTATCTACCCTTTTTCTTCCAGCTACCAAAAATAAATATCATTTATCATAAAATGTTAACTGGTTTATTTGAATAGAAGTTTCCAGTGGAATTAGAAATGCCAACTCTATTGTCACATTAGATAAAATCAATATGAAGAACAAGTGTTTACTTCTATTACCCATCAAATTGATGAAAATCTCTATTTATAACAGCAACATCACTCTTAAATCTAATGGAGGCAAGGTTCTTGATTTTAATTACTTAAATGGAAGCGATGTCTTGATCCTATGGCCAACTCTTGAAGTTTTCCCTCTCAAGGTACCTTCTTAGAATTACTTAAGATAGTATTAATTTTATCGATTTCATGCTTAACATCAGACAACACACCAAAAACTATTTCAACTTTCAACAGTCAACTTAATTATAAATAACTTACACAAACATTGTGCATAGATAATTCAATTTTGAGTTGTTTAGAGGGGATATAAAAGTATTTAACTTTCAGATATTTGATGGGTTTGAAACTGCCTGTTAGACAAATTCGTCCCAGTTGTGCCCAATTAAAAAAATACTAGTTTTCAAAACCTACAAAAAGTTCCCAAGGCAATGAATTTCCATACCGGTAAATGAAAGAACTTTATTCTAGAAAAAAAAAATTAAACTAATTAGCTTGTGCCTGTCAAGGATGGGCTCTGTCTAGTACCTGTTTGTCCAGTACAGATTTTTATCCTTTTTTCTGTGTTTTTGTTATGTTTATAATACATGTCATAAAACTAAGGTTTTTCACATGTACAACTGATCCCACTATTTCCATAACTGAAGATGTCTTGCTTAACATCCTATCGAAGAAATCTTGACTTAGTTTTGTCATAACTTATAAGGCACTTTAAATGGTTAGAACTAGAGGACAAGGTGATCAGAGATTATCAATTACAGAATTATTTATTGACATTTCCCATCAAACTTTGTGACTGATCATTGATAAATTAAATCAATTTACTACACATATATGGGCTTATTATTCACTGACATGAACAATGAACTTCAACACACCAACACTCAAGAAATGTAATTTAATAACATTCTATTAATATGTGATGCTTACTCCTTGGTTTTTTTTTAAATATCTTTTTTCTACACATTCAATGTAACCAAAGGGTGTAATATAATATGTACATTAACACTGATTAAAGTTGGAGGCACTTTTACTTAAAATTTAAATTAAAGTGAAATATTGACTTCACATGTGAAATAAGATAAGCTGTTTACATTCCAGATAATATTGATTTTAACTTAGATATCATTGTCATTCAACATTCTTTCCTAGCTTTAGGTTTAAAATCAATTTAATGTTTTTCCCTAAAAAAGTTAAAATGTTGACTCTGACATCACTTCCAATGCTATTTAGAACATGTTTTCACCTTCTCCATCGATTCACTCACAAATGCAAATTTAATCTGTAAGTTCACATTTACTAGTTAAAGAGGACAATCTATTAAAATTCACGGGAGACACCTTTATTAAATTTTCTGTTAATTTGTAAGTTTTATACAGCAACAATGAAAACCAGTTTGGTTCATTTTCAATGAAACTCTTTTATATGAGGGCTGGCTGAAAAGTTCTACACATATAGGCCTATTTGTGAAAGACCTGTACAAAGACGAGGGTTTTCATTTATTGTTCTACATAGTCCCCTTCGAGATGTACACACTTTTGGCAACAATGTTGCAAGGCCTGAAAGTCGGTCAGGAAGAAATTTTCTTCAGCAGCCACCCTAAAAAGTCAATCATAGCTGTCATCATTACTAGGACAATTACTCAAGCTATGCCCTCTTTCATGTTGGGAAACAGGTGGAAGTCTGACAGCGCCAAATCAGGTCAAAAAATTATCAGGATCTGCTTCAAAATGGTGCAGATTGTCACAGGATGTAAGGAATCTGACACGTTTCTGATCTGCAGTCAAGAGCTTTTGCACCCTTCTTGCAGAAACTTTTTTTCATTCCTACTCGGTGGCAATAA